TTTCGAATTGCGTATTATATTAATTAATTCATTTCCATTATTTCACGGTGCAATTGCTTTTTCAAACTCAGCATTATAAAAGTAATTTAGCAAAACATGAATTATATCAAATACCTTTCTACGGTTATTATACATAACTTTAATTTATTACTTGTGAAATGATATACATAAATCCGACAAGCTATTGGCATATTTAAAATCGAAATAAATAGCAATTTGAGGTAAATCATTAATTTAATTTTATAACATAATTTCAATTAAAATGTAAATGATTAGTCAGGAATTCAATTGATTTTACTATAAAATAATTCTTAATATAGAGTAGAGGGGAGCTTACAGGACCATGGTTAATAAGATCCGCTAACCAAAATCTTAAAAACAAATTAGGATTTTTTTTAAACATTTTTTGAAGTTGTAATTCTTTAATAAAAGTATTTACTTTATTTTTGTTAGATGTTTTGGTTGTGGACACTGTTGTTTATTTACTAGACCTTATTATGATTTTCAAGTGTACGGTATTTAATTATTTTTTAAGATCTATAGGTAATTTCATATTAGATTCGGCTAATATTTCTATATAACCTCTATGAAAACCCACAGGTGAATAGGGTAAAAGGTGAACCTTTATCTTGGCAAAGGTGTAAGCAATAAACAATAGTAAAAATGTAAATTTCGTTAAAAAAAGCAATTTACAAAAATAAATTTAATTAATAGTTATTCCAATTGTGTTGAAGAATGTTTCTGACAAATATCAAATAAAAATCAAATGAAAATTAAATAAAATATCAAATAAGGGGCATATGCAATGTTGTCTTTGTAAAAAAATGTGCCCATAAAATTTATATTTTGCATCAGTTTAATATTGTGGCTATTGTTTCGTAAAATCCTTCAAAAAATTAAAATATTACTGTTTGCCATATGACTGCCTCATTTAACTCCGCTAATCAGGCAAAATGAGACAAGTGACAAATTTTTGAAAATTACTAAAAAACACATTTCTATAATTAGGACCTAACAGAATATTTTACTGAATGTTTGTTTATTAGATATTATATGTGATACGTGCTGCGATGTAGGTCATTTGGTTTAGACAGTATTATTACTTAAAATTAAATTGGGCCTTTATACCCCTATATCATCTGAAGAATTAATTTCAATTTCCACTTCAATATATATAATAATTAATCATTTTATTACATTAATATTTAATATTAGTATTTTGCTATTGAAAAAAAATATATTTGTATTGCAATAAATATACTTTTGTATATATATTTTTTTTAAATATCTGATAAAAACTAGTGGCGTGCATGGCATTGTGCCTTGAAGCAAATTTCTGGAACTTCCCGTACCGTAATTAAAATTATTGGTACGGAACCCAATAAAATTAACACAAAATGTATACACATTAATAAAATCTCTATAAAATATCTGATAATTTGATGTACATATGTCCAATAAACATTTTTGACCGCCAAATAACATTTTACTAATTGATTTTCATTGAGAGTCCACAACCGCTAGACCTGCCTTCACAAAAATTTAATCAGTTTTTCATCTTATCAATACAAGTAAAATGTTTATTGAATTATGAAAATCGGACGCTCCGTTCTCTTAAAAACAGAGTTATCGTTATTGGCACTTTTTGCCCCGCATCTTCAGAACGGCTAGACCTGCCTTCGCCAAAAACTAATCGGCACGTCTTCTTATCAATACGAATCGAATGTTGCTTGAATTATTCAAATCGGTTGATCGGTAATATCGAAATCGTCGACGAAAATTTGTATCCGAACACACACACATCCATTTTTTCTAAGGTATGCTTACAAATTTTAGTGAGTCTGTGATATTTTAGATTGCTTATGTAGACAATGCATTTTATTATCGTGTAAAATTTCATTAAAATCAATTTTTTCGATAATAACTAATTACAGCCCAGCAAAGCACAGAAAATACATAGCATTTCGTAATTTTTCAGTAACATCGTATATGAAAAACGCTAAATAACATAGCCTTGCCGTAACATTGGCCTATTTTACGGCAGAATCGGCCCCTTGTTATGAAACTAATGGAAGACATCACTGCAGCTTGATATAAGGCTAATCGAAGCGGGACAACTCCTCTGGTCTAAACGTCATCTTTATATCAGTTTATGATACAATACAATATAATTGACAAAAAAAACTGATAAGCCTTTATATTTGGATATTTCTTATATTGTTAAAAAATTTGTTTCATAAATAATATTTATCATTTTACGTACAAGTTTGACTCGGACAAACGCCTAGTAAAATGGGAACATTTTCCGCCAGATGTGTGGAGCCTGGAAACGCGATATTCTTTTAATGCGATCCGTTAACATAGTCGAATGGAATTCAAATAAGGTTTAGCGTGCTTTTAAAAGAGAGAGTATTTTCTTGTAATCGTATTTACATCGAAATGTGAATACGAGATCACAGAAATAAAACCAGAAGATCTCAAATTCAGCTTCATGGATTTTAGTTCTACCAAGGAAATAGAGGTTCACTGGAGTACGTATGAATTTTCAGAAAACAAATTCGAATTAATCATTCTTATAATAAACCAAAAGTAATATTGATAAAGATGTATGATTTAAAATCATATGATAGTGTTGAATTCTATTTAATAAATTTGTTTCTCAGTGCAATTAATAAATTTAACAATATTCGGCTTAGAAATTTATTTACCTAGCATTAATACGCTGTTTTAGCTAATGACTTTTATCTATAAATCTATATAAATACAGGAAAATTACACTAATGAAGTGATTTTTAAAATAATTTTGAATTCAAATTTTTATAAAATGTTCTTCTGAATTGACTAATTCTATAAAACCTCAAGCTTTGTCTTTTAACTTCAGAAGATTTATGTGTTCTTTTGAAGTATTTTTACAGTTAAAACAAAATGATTAGGCTTGATTCTATGTTAAGGAGTATTTCTCATATGAATACAGTTCTAAATTTGTGCAAGGAATAATATAATATACTAGAATTTTGCTATAAACAAAAACCCAATGTAACTCCTACTTACTTTTTTGTTATTAAAGTATAAGTAATTGAATAAAGTATAAGAAAGTTGACAACTTCATTGTCATAATTGTTTCATTATACTTATTAAATGTTCACTAGAGTCTATTGAAAATTACAGGAGGAAAAAAATATTTTTAATTGAAAATGTTTGAAATACAAAATGTCCTCATGATAAATTTTTCAAATTATATAAATAAAACTATGACGTACCAAAATATAAAAATTTAATCAAGCTTTTTCATAAGCTATGTCAGGCGTTTGCTAACTAAGTAGTTAGTGCTGATCTAAGTTATTGCATATTTTAATTTAAAACATACCGTTACGTTTAAAAATATAACATATGCAATAATATATGTTATATATAAATTTGAAGAAAAACTCAAATCCATGTTTGTCGTCGATCTCATTAAGAAAAATTGTTGCAAGGTGGGAAATACAACTTGCAACAATTTTGTTTGATGAGACTACGATATAAAGTTTAACTCGACTTTTTTTTAAATTTCAAATTTCAAAATAAAATACGACTGATGTTATTTTTAACTCTTTGGGGACGGCTGTCTACCTGAGTGGACAAACATACACTATCAGACACAGGCTATTTTATAAACAATGACTCAGTTTGCATCGAAACTTTGAATAAATTACATATAGCAGTGATAAACAGTGTTGTATTTTGAAAATAATTTTGAGTTATTTTAGTAGAATTTTTAGCCATTTTCTGTGCTGTATAGTCTTTTTTTAAATATTAAAAATGACCGAGCGTTTTTAAATATGGCAAAGCGACTTGTAAATTTTGTGAACTAAGTACTAGTGAATATGAGTTACAAATATACAATCATACAGACAAATTTTACGAAATTACTATTCGCACCGAAGATAGTGATGAATGTGATGATGATATTATCCAAACAACAAAAAGAAGAAGAAGTTTGACAAATTAAATGAAGAGTGAAAGACATTAGCGAATGTGCCGATTCTACTTCAATAATCGAGTTTGACATACATCAACAAACACCCCGACTACAAATATCAAGCAATATAAGACATCTAATAGATTATTTTACTTTATATTTTACAAATAAATTATTAGACAATATAATAGAAAAACAAAACCATTAAGGCAACAAAAAAATGAACAAATATACTGACTAATCAGTGGCATATTCTAAATGCGAGAGAAAGAAAAAAGGGATTGTATTGTCTGTTCTGACAGAAAAGCACCAGGATGAAGACGGCGAACAACATTTTATTATAAAACATGTCAAAATCAACCAGCTATGCATTTTGGAAATTGTTTTAAACGTCACCATTCTTTATAAAATGATCAAAAATAAATTAATATTATAAATGTATGTCCTTTAATGACCACGAATTTTTATCAAACAAATTGCATAACATACAATGAAATCAAGTTTACAGTCTGTACCGGCTGTAAATTGTTTTGAAATCGGTGCCGCCCCGTAAGTGTTAATATACTACACCGTTATATATGTTTAAATAATTGTCATTTTTAATAATCTAATAATAATATTTTTATTAGATCCCAAATAAGTAGTTCAACCAGGGGACAAGATTTCGTTAAAGTTTTTTTTTCGTAGGTATATATCAAATATACAGGATATAAAAATAAAGATATATTGCTTGAAGGCAGTATGAGGAAATAGATATAAGCAATTCACCAGCCAAAAATTTTCGAAACCTGAACTATTGGATGTATATAATTGGATGTATATAATTTTAAAAGGTAAACTTAACGTTTTTTTTTTCTAAATTATGTTTTATTCGTAGTAAGAAACTTCAATATCCATAAATTCAAATAAGAAGCCTACGTTTAACTTTTCTTTTACAAACCACAGATTATCTATTTTCATTGTATGAATTGCAATGAAATGTGAATGTAAAATCTACATTTATATTCCAATCTAAATTATTTTTAACCTATCCACTTACCTTGCAAAGGAGCGTATATGTTCAAGTACAAACAATCCTCACTCTGGTTCCTCAGATAAGGAAGTAGCCTTTTTAATTGGGCATACCTTCCGGGAGATACTCCGGAGCCTCCGGATGATGAAGGATTTCGGCCCATTGACGATGCCGTTAGCGGCGGTGGCGTCTGCGGGCAAACGGGAGGCAAATGATTGGCTGACCGCAAACCTGTCCATGGAGGAGCTGTTCCTGAAAACCACGAAATCTATCCTTAATCATCATAGTTAGTATTCATTACTAGAGATACTGAACTGAATAAATGTACAGTTGAAAGCTAAAAACAGACAGTTTATGAAGATAATGAATCATACTAGAGTAGAACCTCGATTAAACGGACTAATTGTTGTCGATAGCCAATCGGATAATCGAAAATTTAATATATGAAAAATAATGTTGCATATTTAGTAAACACATACATAGATATCAACGAAAATAATGTTTGTTAAGATTTTGAAGCTTTTTTATGTATGTACATATATTTTCTTAGATTACATTACATACATATACTAGACTGCAGCATTAATCATGCAAAAATTTGAATTGTAGGTATGTACATACATAGAAATTGATGTAGTCCTTGATATGTAGATAATCGCGAATCCATATAAAAAGATAGAGATGTAGAGTGAGATCTATCAATCTAAAATTAATAGTATAAATAAAATAGATGTGTTTACAGTAAGCAACAGAATTAAGTAATTAATCAAATGATATGACAAGCTTTTTGAATGTTTTGAAGTAAAGTCAAATTTATCAATATTAATACTATTTCAAATTCATAGATATGTGAGTCTACGGTATGATATTATTAGATGTAATATAGTATAGAAGCTGAATCTTACTATATCGAAAGTGATATAGTGATTGTATATTGCTGATTATCGTGTATATTTTGAACATGTTTTGTAAGAAATGTTTTAGTTATTGATATATTATTAATATGTTTCATAGCTTCAAAAACTATGAGAGAAATTGGATTATTGGTAAATATAGATCTAAGTGATTTGAAGCATAAGTAGCCCTTCTCCGTCATGCTTGTATCAAATACAAAATACATCTTCTGTACTAAAGAAATTCTTATAATATAACTATATCTAATAAGATTGATATAATATTTGCTTATAATAAATCTGTATGAATATATTTTATAATAAATCCGAATGAACATATTTTATAGTCTTATAATCAATGAAAAATTGATATCAATTGGGAAAATATACAAAAATAAAATAATCGTCTTCAGAATTAAAGAAAGTCTAATAATTAAAATATATAAAATAAGGATAAGCAGATTTGCCCTTTGAAAAACGAAATTCCCGAAGTAGCAATTTCATGACCCCAACTTATAGAATTATTAAGATTTGATCATTATTCAAAAATAAAATAAAAAAAAGAAATTATGTATAAATATGTTAAATTTACAAAATATAATTGTAAATGTGAATGTGTAATACAACAATAGCCTGAAGAAGTATTAGTTATTATGAATAACAGTTTGTGTAAGCGCCTGGTGCAATATTTCTTAATAAAGTCAATTAAAAACTCACGTTTGTGGAAATGTAATATATTTAATTTTAGTAAATTGTATTTGAATGAGGATGAATTTCCGAAAAACTATCTTATTACCTAGAGCTGGGTAGGAAATTATTTTAGTAAGTCAGGTAGAGGGAGATGGATTAATAAAATTTGTGAAGCTTAAACAGTTTGTTCATTAATAAGTAAATAGTAAATTTGTCTAAATATATTTAGAATTCTAATCATGAGATATTTTTCATTTAGATAAAACTTACTATTTTTTTTTCAAACTTAGTTCTGATTACCCTAATTACATTAACAGATTATTGGACCTTATTGAATAACTTGTTTAATAAGTCATGTAAAATATATAAAACATAACGATGTAACAACACTCAAAATACATACTCCAAAAATATGTAATAAATTCTGCTTTATAGAGAGATGGATGTGCTCAAAATAAAATATTTTTGTGATATATTATTTTAATCCAATTATTCCATTTTCCAATATATAACCAAAACATTTAGTAAATTGTAGAACCAAGGTCGGTGTATTTTTACTTTTATTACATCAGAATATATAGGCCTGATTCATTTATTAATTCGTATCATTATAATAAAATTATATTTTATTTTCTGCTATATTTATTTTGGACATCTTATGAGAATAAACGCAGAATCAAAACATCTGTTCTAATTAGTATTAAAGGAAAAAAAAAAAATAAAAGCAATTGTTTTGAGTTTGTTAGTTAGACACGTTTTCGTTTATTTTAAAAAGTGTACTGTTAAATTAAAGGAAATGAAAATATATTTTAAAATTTAGTAGCCAAGGTCTCAGATTATTGCATTTAAGAGTTTATGAATGTTCTTATTCATAGCTTCCGAAAAAAACAATATGAATTCGTGAGCTTTTATAATTTATGGGCTCGCCCGTAGGTAAGCGGTTAAGAGCGACGGGACTTGTTTCAGAGGTCCCGGGTTCGATACCCACTTCGAGCAGCCTGTTGTCAGGCAGCAGTGACAACGATTTTCACTTGGAAATATAGATAGCAATATGTTACCGAGTGAACATAGCCCTTGCCCGGCATTGCTGCACCAATAAAAAGTCAGCCATATTAGATTAATTCTAATAACAAAAATCAGCAAATATGGATGGATTAACCATTGGGTTACCATCTAAAAATACGAAGTGAGGAGAAGTTTCAGCCCAACAGCTCATAGGACGTAAGGTTCTGATTGCTGTTAAAAATATAATAATAAAAAAAAAATATAATTTATAAAACTTTTAGTCTTATGTGAATTACGTAGAACAAACTAGGACATTTTATATTTATATAGAATAGCCTTGTATAAAAGTTTTACCTCACGTTTATTTATAACTAAAAATGAAAAAATAAAATGCAATAGGAGATGAAAATAATTGAGAGTTTGAAACACTTAACAGTGCAATTAATTTTCCAACGCAAATAGAACACTGTATTACATTTCAGATCGCGGTGTTAAAATAAAATAAAATCTTTTTTTCTCTATAAGAATTTTTATTATACGTAAACAAACGCACGCAAACAGAGCAGCGGCTTTTTTCGGTATAAATCTAATTCAAATATTTATTTTTTCTTATTAATCGCTGTTCTTTTCTGAAGAGCACTGCGATGTTATTTCTGTGCTGTTTACTTACATCAAGGAAAAGTGTGCTAAATACGAGAATCTTACAGGAATAAACGTTACAGAAAAAATAACATTCAGAGAAATTAAAGAAATGAATACTTACAACTTGTATGTAGGTCATTTGAAGATTATAGTTATTTAATTAAAATATATTTTAAAATATGGTAAGAAATCTGTGATCTAATTATAAACAATGTCACTATAAATAGTGTGATAAAAAATATATGAATTATTACTATTATGTATATATATGTGTATATATATATATATGTATATTTATGTATGTATATGTATATATATATATGTATATATGTATATATATATGTATATATATATATATATATATATATATATATAAAATATATATAGTCAATACTGCTACATCGGTAAGAAATAACAGCGTAATATGGAAAACGCGCTATAAAAAAAAACAGAATTAGTACAAATGGTGGAATTAGTGAGGCCAATAAATAGAAAAAAGTAATTCAAAAGTTTAAAGATATGAAAAAATATAAATTGAGTTTATATAAGAATATGATAAAAAAAAACTAAAAAAAGCTACCGTTTTACGCAAAAAAAATCAATATTTTTTTTAACTTCTCGAAGAAAAAGTTTGTTTTCGAAGAAAATCCGAATGGCTAATTTTGTGTTTTCTTGACGTTTCAAGTCATTCTAGATCGAATGAGCCAAAATTAGGAAACAAGAATGTGTGTGAGTATTGTGTATATGATCCTTCTTTGACCTTATATTGACGTTTTCAAAAACGGATAAATGAATTTACCCACAATTCCGAATCGACTTTAAAAAATTCAAAAACTGTTCTTAAAATATCTGTTGGAAATTACAGCTTCACTTAATAAGCATCGAATAGTTTTTTGATACAATCGAGTAAGCCGTTTCTTTAGAATTAGTAGAAAACACAAACATTTTTATCCACGTTTTAGCAACAAATCCTGAATCGATTTTGAAAATTCAAAAACTGTTCAATACAATTATTTGGAATTACTCTTCTTGACTATTAAAAATAAAAATATTATATTTATTAATAATTAATTTAAAAATAAAATAAGGCAAAAAAGCTGTTCCTAATTAACATACTGAAAACTAAAGTCCTACGAAAATAAAATTGATTTTAAGAAATATTTAAAATTTTGAATTAATCGGCCGTGCTTTAAGAAAATATTTAGTATTATGTATAATGCACGTGTTCCTTTTTCAATGCGTGATAAAAAAAATTGTTTAAACTAACCAATATAAAGCTCCACAGCAACTAGGTAACTAGGTATACTTATAAATCACTCACGAATCAATATATTAGTTCAACCATAACAGAAAATTCATGCAACTTGGCCAAATGACGAAAGAATCACTTACAAATAGTTTAATTAAATAATTAATAATAATAATAAAATTTACTAGAACTGATAAAATTTGGCATGTTTGTCTACATATAACATAAAACATACAATAGTCGATAATGAAACAATATAACCATTGAATTTATCAAGTTGCTAGAAATTTATGAATTGCGCGGGAACTTATGAGCTGTTGAGCGAAAACCGCGTTGTAAGCTGGACTGAAAACAACGTCATTATAAAAGGGTCAACTGAAGTAAAATTAACCAAAATAATATTAAATTATTTATTCATATATATTTGGGCTGTTGAGCGAAAACCGCGTTGAAAGCTGGCCTAAACCGCGTCGTTATACAAGGGTCGACTAAAGTATAACTAACCAAAAAATATATCTAATTTTTTATTCATATTTACAATTTCGATTTACACAAAGTTTCCTTCTTCAGGAACTGTTAAACACAAACCGATTTTTTTTCTACATTTGCACTAATTTAAATCATTTGAAAATCGGATGACATCACTATTTACCTTTGACACATGGACATTAAATGAAAAAATATTTTCTCAACGTGACCTTGATTAGAAAGAATCAGGCCCTTAAAATCACTACTTGATCTTTGACACAATGGGCTGCACAATTATTAAAAAA